GTGTGTGTGTGTGTGTGTGTGTGTGTGTGTGTGTGTGTGTGTGTGTGAATTGAACTCAGGTCCTCTGGAACTTTGCAGCAAGTGTTCTTAAATGCTGAGCCCCTCTCTCTAGTCATTACTGTAATGTTAATGATTACTGATGAAAACAATTAATAACTTATTTGGATAAATTTATAAATCACTTAAGACTTGTCAGTTTTTATTTTACATCATTCAGCAAGACACTTTGTCAGCTCATGTGATTAAAGTATTTGATACAATCAATTTCAGGTTCAACTCAAAATGACTCAGGTCAGAACATACCTCTACCCCAGCTGCAGCCAAAAGCCACCGGATAGGCTCCATTCTCCCCCTGCCATCGAAGTAGTGAAGAACTGGCTTCCCCGCCATGGCAGCAATCGCTGGTTTTTCTAAACAGGAATGAAACACACCATGCTCTTAAAATGCTCTTAAAAGTCTGTCCTATGAGGGTATTTGGAAAGCAGCTCCCTTCTTACTGGCAGTATCTGCCTTTCTTCTTGGCAGGGTTGGAGACATTCCAGGAACATGTTCCTTGGTCCAAATTGACACCCATCGGGAACCCACCTCGGATTGCACCAAACCAGTTGAGTGTCTCCATTAGCTAACATGTAGCTTAAAAAAAAAAGTCATAGTTCAGATTAGAGGATAATCATGTGTGGGACATAGTAGGAAAACAAAGTACCAGCAAACTAGTGTACCGTAGACCTCTTGTGCTGCTCTCCCCACCTCTGAGGTTGAGGGTACTTTTGGTCTGTCACAGGCTGAGGATAGGGAATTTACATGTGAAACACCGTACTTTTGCATGGTGGGGTCAGGGATCCCTCTTAACACCCTAAAACAGAGAGGGAAGCCATTCATAGAAAGGTAAACCAGCTAATGTAGGCAGTGTTGTGTAGCTGTTTTCTCTGAATTAAAACATCATCTTGTAAAGAGAAGAACTAAGCTTGTAAGTCTATGGAAGCTAAGGAAACCTAAGAGGCTCAGGAAGATCATAAAAGCTAAAAGATTCACAAGGCCCCTCCCCATGGTTATAAAAACAGTGAGCAATCTCTGGGGAAAGACTGTCTTCAGAGGAAATTCCTGCAAGGCAGGCAGGAAGCTTTGTAGTCATTATTGGTGTCTTTGTGTCACCCAGGCTTCTATAAGTAACTTCAATCAAGTCCACGATTCACCAAGTTAGATTGGTGCCCTATCTGCCATGAGTAGATACTTGTTCAGTCTCCCCAGGAAAGGTCACACAACTGACAGTGGTGCCGAGATTGGGGAACTCTGTCCCAGACACCTTTCTTCTGTGTAGATGCTTGAATCCTACAGAGAGGATGCCACTGGTGATCTACTTAATTAGTGACAAAGACAAGGTGAAAATCTGCTACTCCTGACTTTCGAATGAATTTTCATATACCAATAAATCTCAACTTGGATATTCCTAGCCTACATAGTTGTATATTGTTTCTGGCAGTGGAAGATGTGGCTTTAATGGTGCCAGCAATAGCAGCTCAAGGTATTTTCCTCAGAGACTCAACTCAGTGAAAGCTGACATTCTTGGGACTTATGACCCAGAGAAGTCTTTCAGGATATATCAGCATAAAGCAAAGTTGTAGTTCAGTTAGAGAAGGTCCTGCCTTCTACTCATGATTCAGTAAGAACAGGTACAGGGAACTCACAAGCTAGAAAATGGAAAAAGGTGCTCTGAAGTGCAGCCCTCTTGACATCACATAGCTATTACACACTTGAACTCATAGCAGCATGGTTATGTGCACAAAATCAAGCCAGTTAAAATGCCACTATTGGAGTTAGGAGGTCTCAAGGGTCCCATCCCTAATTGAAAAGCTATTGATAGCTCATGGCTGCTAAGGCAGGGAGAGTAACCTTCCCAACCCTTGCAGGGGTGGGTAGGTTGGTAGGTTGGTAGATTGGTAACAACCCTTGGTAGGTTGATCAGGACCCACTGGATGATTCTACATCCATGTATATTTGGGCAAAATTAATGGGACTCGGTAGTAAAGCAAGAAGATGACAGGGAGTCGGGAGGGCGATGTGTTTGAGAGGGGAAGCACATGGAGTTGGAAGGAGAGGTAGAGGGATAAAGTGGACAGTGAACATGGCTAGGATACTCTGCACACATATAATGAAAAAATGAAACTAAAATAAACTGAAATGTCACTGCCTAAAATGTTTTGTTACAGATTTAACTAGAAAGAAGGAGAGGAAGATGAGAGAGAAAGAGAGAGGGGGTGGGAAAGGAGGAGGCAGGGAGGGAAGAAGAAATAGAAAGAAAAGTGGAGGGAGGCAGTGGAGGGAGGAGGATGACTATTTTGGACAAGGAAGGAGACTAGCAGAAGAGAGAGGGCAAGAGAGAGTAGTAACAGGGATAACTAAGGTCAAAGTATAATGATATGCTCAACTGAAAGTATCTTAATGAACTCAGTTACTCAATTTTTCTGAAAAAGGAAAGAATAGTATGTACCCAAGTGTGGACAGAGAGCGAGTTAGGGTAGGAGGTAACTGTCTTAGCAGTAGCTATCCATACACAGTTGTGCTAGATTTGTAGTTATACCCATCCAAAGGATATAAACATTAGGCAACATGCTTAGGCATGCTCACTTTTATCCAAAGAGTTTCCCCATAAAACTAGATTGTGCGTGGCTCATGATGCATGCCGTATTGGTTTAAAGGCTGATAGGATAGAATGCAAGTCAAAAAAAGGTCAATGATCATGACACATGTTTTGACTATAAACATAATTCATAATCTTAAATGACAGCCAGTAGAGGTGAAGAGCTCATTTTTCTTCCTCATCTTTTTTAATTTTCCTTGTTCTTACTTCTTGTTTCGGCAGCACAATTTGCAGCTATGCATGAGTAACTTTAAGCCAAATATCACTCCCACCCCTCAGCTCTCCCACATCTTTCTCTTTGGAATCACAGACTGCTTTAATTCCTCAGGGTCACACCTTGTGGGCACACTGGATTCCTCAGACTTCATTAAGAGCCTCACCTGAAGCTTCTGTTTGCCACCCAGCCCCATGTCTGCATGCTCACAAGCCTTGATTCCCTTCGGCACTTAGGTTTCCGGCAGCCTTCCCACTGGGTAGTCTAGTACTTGTGCTCTGGTGTTCCTTTTTCCAAATTTAGGAGTGGTACCCAGTGAGGAACAACTGCCAGTTCCCAGCGCAGGGCTTACAGCAGCATGGCAAGCGGTGTGGCATGGCAAAGGACTGGAAAAGTGTGACTGGCTACTTCCCTAACTCTCTACTATCGGTTTTCCTCTCGGTTCATCCACAAACTCTAATGAGTGGCTCAGACCATCCTCCCCCTCCAGGGCCAATTAGACTCACTGGCTGCCTCGGTACTACACAATCGTCAGGGATTAGATTTACTAACAGCAGAAAGGTGGTCTTTGTCTCTTCCTCCGGGAGGAATGTTGTTTTTATGTCAACCAATTGGTTATATTAAAGGAGAAGGTCTGACAACTCTAGACAAATCTCCAAAAAAAACCATGAGAAACAGCTGGATGCCTTTGGCCGATGGATCACTGATAACCCAATATGAACTTTCTCCTCCTTTTCTTAATCCCCCTGGTTGTTCCCTGCCTTATAAACTTCTTGCCTAGATTTCTTCAACAATGGATCTGAAAGATTTCTAACCAGACTTTTAATCAGTTGGTATTACACAATGAAGAGTTCCTAGCTATGGAGCCAGAGGCCTGTAACTCCTGCCTATGCCCTGATGTTGAAGATTAGAATTGCCCCAAGAACGTTGGCATCCCCAATCAGCAGAAAGCAGTCTAAAGATAATGTTACCCCCTTTCCAACCTCTGGTTGTTCATTAATAATAAACAAAAAAAGAGGGAACGTAGAGTAAAAGGTCCAAACCCACTTCTGCATAAAAAAAAAACAAACAAACCAAAAAAACCCTTACCCAAACTCACCAATCCCTGAGCACAAAATCCCACCAATCATTGGCTTGCCCTAAACTCAGGACTTGAAATCTCACTAATCTCTAGAGTGGAAATGTCCACCCTTGAAAACTTCCCTCCAAAACCCAATTGAAACCTGTCTCCTGCTCAGGTCCCTGCTGCTTCTCACCTGGAGCAGAGGCAGCCACCCTCTTGTATGTCTCCCTCTCCTGTGTGAGGTTTGGGCAGGGTGACTTCATGGTATTCTGGCATAGCCATATCCACTGGAAATGGTGAGAGTCATGAAGCCAGCACCGCTGCTTGACACCGAACCAGCAAAGAAGAGCGGGTTGCTTCGATGGCTGTCCTTCTATCTGTCACTTATGGGTTTTGGTCTCTGCAGTTTGCTTTACTGGGGACCTTCTGCATTATGATTCAATGTATGTCTTTTCCTGAGAAAAATTCTGAAATTAACTTTATCTGGCCACTATTTGGAAGTCTTCCTTACACCCTGGAGATCATTAAGCACAGATAAGCACATAGCTAGCTGAGGCCATTACTACAGGAATTTTCTTGGGTTATCTGTCCCTGAGCTAACTCAAATAGCATAATTGTTGTCGGGTAAACAGACAATTGACAAACTCTGACCGGCCAGGATAGGCCTCTTTTTATTATAGGCTAAGAACTCTCTGTAAATGTAGCCCTGGAGGAATAAAAATTAGTAAATAAGATTGGCTAAAATAAACTTTTCTTACTTTATAGCACAGACGATGATACATATAGTAAAAGGAGTTAGATATTGGTATTTGCTATTTAAAAAAAAAAAAAAAAGAGTGGTTCAGATATTTTCTGTTTATCCGGAGTACTTTCAAACAGCAAACATGTCAGCCTAAAAGCAGGCTGTCATATATTAAGTGTGTTTGTTTTGGAGGAGCCTTTTTTTTTTTTTTTAAGACTCTTTAAATTGTAGTTGTGGGTAAATAATAACAATAAGAATAATAACGATAATAATAAAATCTGTTCCATTTGTACCTTTTAATTGTAACCGAACTGTAACCCTGGACATGTAATGAAAACTCGAACAATTACTCTGTACCACTTGGATAATCATTGGTATTTGCTCTGTGAATCCTGATTGCTAGAAAGTCAGAGCCACAGAAATGGCCTGATTGCTAAAAAGTCAGAGCTACTAAATTCCCTTGACCATCGCCTTACTCACTCCCTTCTCTGGCCAGATCCATACCTCCTCTGCCAGCAACCTCCCTCCTACCTGAGGACCCCCACCCCCACCCTCAACCCCAAGGGTCCCAGCAGTATTCTTTGGTTCCAACTGCCAGGATGCCTTTCCCTTCTGAGCTGCAAATTTTCCATTGGGGAAATCAGAGCTATAACACTTGCCTCAGGGAAACCTCCCCGCTCAGAGCTGTAACACATGCTTCTCTGCCCTGGACATAACTGCAGTTTGTCAAGGTTATTACCTACTATTGTCTTCTTATGAAGTTAATTTGTCTCTTACCATTAACTTTTTGTGTCTTCTAAAGCCTTCATTTTCACATGTCTATTACAATGTATCCAGCAGAGATGGGATCAACAATTCTTAGACTGCCCTGAATGCAGCACACCAAAGTCTGCACAATATGAGTATAAAATAGATGTTTTCTTGTGCTAAATTAGTTCCTACCAACTTAAAGGGTGTGAGTGTGTGTGTGTGTGTGTGTGTGTGTGTGTGTGTGTGTGTGTTAGGAAAAATGGTTTGATTTCAGTACTTACCTTGTTAAAAAGCCGTTCCCCCTAAAAAGCTCCACAACACTTAAGACTACCTGATGTTTTATAAGCATTTCTTAATTTGAATAAGCCCTTCCCAGTTAAGGGAAGACAATCCAATAAGGGAAAAGCTGCTCCCACAGGGTCCAGAGCCAGAATAGATAAGAGATTAGAAGAAAAATGCAAAGTCATGCCTGAGTTGCTAAAGGCTTAGTTAATGTGTTTCATTTTCAGTGCTGCAAAGTGGAAAGGAGGAAAAACAGAAGTGAGTCAGCTTTAACCCTTTGGTTAAAAATCCCATCAGTGAGGATGGGATTTTGTAAGAAATTCCTGTGAGTTTTACATGGGTACAGGCAAGGGCTCCTTTACTAAGCCAGGAGATGCTAAAAAGAGCAAGCAGGTGTCACTAGGGAGTATTTCTGTAGACTGAGTCACCAAGCAAGGTAAAGAACAGACAGCTGCTGCTGTTGCTGCTGCTACTTCCTCCTCCTCTTTCTTTCTTCTTCTTCCTTCTTCTTCCTTCTTCTTTCTTCTTTTCTTCCAAGCCATGGGATGGAACCTAGTACAATGTACATGCTAACCAAGTGTCCTACCACTAAACTGAACCCACAGCTCCCAAAATGTAATAAGATAGTAATGCCATCACATATGTGTTCATTAATGATAGTTCTAATTCCAGAATAGTATGCATAAATTGTTTTATCTTTTGTTTAAATCACATTTAAATTAGGATCTCAAATTGTTATAAGTCTTCTGAAGTTGTTTTAATGTACATACTCTTTGGTGAGTAAAAATACAACCATTAAATTAAGTATATTCATATATATCTTCAAACCTGAAATTTTTTATTTAAGGCATAACCCTAGAGAGATCTTGCAGCAAAAATGCTTTCCCATTGGTATGAGAAAAGTTAGATAGATTCACTTTTAGGACTAAGATGTCCCAGTCAGAGTGTGTCTCTAACATAGCTATAGCCAAGGGTGGCCAGGTGGACTTCATCCACAGCAACCGTCTCACCCTTTTTCTTGCACATGCATAAGTACGTGTATCAGTGGGCCAAACCATGCTGGCATAAATGCATGTCGTGAGGAATGGTTCAGCAGTATCAGCTCTACTAAAGAAAGCACTCTGTGTCTTCTGTATGGCAGGTTAAGAAGGATTTCTGAAATGCCTCCCCTAGTACAAACCTATTAATAGCCAATCTGAGTTTTATCAAACAAGGCTTCTGTATTTGTGGGATGAGGTATGACTATCCTTGGCAGGCTCTCAGGTGAGAGACTGTGGTAATAACGAATGTGAGGATTACTGGGATGAAAAAGAGCTGAAGATGTGGCATTTATTTCTAAACTCACCTTAATCCCACCTTAGGGCTAGGTATTTCTCACTAGTCTTTGTAAAAGTCCGGTGAACTGTAGGCATGCCTCACTAAAGATCAAGACAATTGCTACGAAATGGTCCTTGTACCCATTGTGTGAACAGCATAGAATATACTTCTGAAACCTAGGTGGAGGAGGTCAGAGATTCCACAGGGCCTCTTGATATGTACATTGGGGAGTAGTTAACTCAACATGCCACCTGCTGGCAAAGCCAGCTCAGTAAGCCTTGATTTACACAAGCAGAGTTACTCTTTAAACAACAATGAACAGTATGTTATAGCAAATACACAAACTAAAGCCAGTTGCCTACTGTCTTTGTCAAATGTTAGGAATTGGGGCTGGAGAGACAGCTCAGCAGTTAAGAGCACGTTTTGCTCCTACAAAGGACACGGATTTGGTTCCCAGCACCCACATGCAGCAGCTTGCAAACATCTATGATTCCAGCTCCAGAAGCATCTGACATCTTGAATCCCTACATGTTCCTACACACACACCCTCTGTCTCACACACACACACACACACACACACACATACACATATATATGTATAGTCATACATGGGGATGTGCACATATACATAATTGATCATAATAAAACTCTATCTTTAAAAAAGCATTTTGGAAACTGGAGAGATGGCTCAGGTGTTAAGAGCATTAGTAGCTTTTTCCAAAGATACAGGCTCAGTGTGCAGTACCCACATCCAACTCATGACTGTATCTCCAGTTCCAGAGGCTCTGACACCCTCTTGTGGACTCTGTGTGCACCAGACACAGATGTGGCATTCAGACAAACAAGCAGGCAAAACATTCACACACACAAATGCCAAACAAATCTTTTAAAATTAATGTGTTAGGAATGGCACATAATTGCACACTCTATATTTCTATAGAAAGCTTGGTGGATCTATTTACACTAAAATTACCACAAGTTTGAGCTTGATGTGCTATACTTTAAAATGACTAAGTTGTATTAACTGATCAAAAGTGTTCATCTCCACTCTAATTGAACAGTACCACTGTCAACTGAGGCTCGTCATGGGCTGAAATGTTATCAGGTGCACCGCCACAGTTATTGCTGCCTCCATCTTGTAGCTGATAGAGCTACATAAAGAGAGGGAAGAAGCAAAATCCACCCTACACACCTGTCACTTACGTACATGAATATTCACACCCTGGGTTCAATAGTAAAACAATGGCAGATTTGGGACTCACAGAGGCCAAGGCTCTGGGAACCAGAGGCCATCACTGAGGTCAAGGGTGAGGAGGAAGCAGTCATTCTTCAGCTCTTGGCTGCTAAGCCACACTTGAGTCAAAGTTGCTAATTCCCAGCTCATGCAGGAGACCTGTGTTCCATCTCTAGAGGATGTGCTTCACTTAACGATTTAGGAACAATAATGTTCCTGAACTCACTTATGCTTATTTGGTTGCGTAGTTTAATAGGATGAAGACAACATTAGCTATGTTAATCAGTCATTAATCAGTTAATCAGTCATTAACTGGTCGGTTTCACAATTTGCCTAGAATAGTCAGTGAAGGTAAGGACTGGCCTATTAAGTAGAGGCAACTCATACTAGGAGGGAGGAGGAGTCCAAAGCCCAGGTAATGGCTAGGGAAATGGTTCTCAACCTGGGGGTCACAACCCCTTGAGTTTGCCCGTCAGACATTTGCATTACAATTCATAACAGTAGCAAAATTACAGATATGAAGTAGCAACGACATAATTTTATGGTTGGGGGTCACCACGACATGAGGAATCATATTAAAGGGTTGCCGCATTACCACTGGCCAAGGCAAAGGTCATCATACTGTTTGCTGGATCAATAGAAAAAGAGACTGAGAGATTGAAGGCAGGGGTCTCACCTAGGCTCTTCATTCAGCTTCCAGATATTCTTATTCTATGTGTATGAGTACCCTGTATGTATGCCTGTGTACCATGTGTGAGCCTGGTACCCAGGGAGGCCAGAAGGGGATACTAGACCCCCAGAACTGGATATACAGATCATTGCAGCCACATACGTGTGCCGGGTTCTCCGAAAGTGTAGCCAGTGCTCTTGCCAAGCCGCCTCTCAAGCCCCTACAAAACTACTTTCGCCACATAAAACTACTTTAGCTTTATGGGTTTTATGCACGTGAATGTGTCACGGGAGCTGCTGCATGGGACTCATAAAGCACCAAAACATGGTGGTTAATTCCAGTGAAGGAGTTCAATAAACGTTCTGTCTCAGCAGTGTGGAAAGTGGGACATAACAAAGAGCCTGACAATGAAAGCCAATGGCTC